AGCAGTAGTAGTAGTAGTAGTAGTAGTAGTAGTAGTAGTAGTGGTAGTAGCAGTAGCAGTCGTAGTCGTAGTCGTAGGCGTAATCGCAGTCGTAGTCGTAGTCGTAGGTGTAGTGTGTTATGCTTCTTTGTAATCTGGGTAGTAGAAGTAGTAGTGGCAGTATTAGTAGTAGTCGTAGTAGTAGTAGTAGAAGACGGAGAAGAAGTAGTATTCGTCGTGGACGTAATCGTAGTCGTAGTCGTAGTCGTAGTCGTAGGTGTAGTTGATTCTGCTTTTTTGTAATATTACCAAAACAAGTAGTAGTGTAAGTATTCGTAGTAGCAGTAGTAGTAGTAGTAGTAGTAGTAGTAGTAGTAGTAGTCGTAGTAGTCGTAGTAGTAGTAGTAGTAGTAGTAGTAGTAGCCGTAGTAGTATTAGGAGTAGTAGTAGTGGTAGTATTGCTAGCAGTAGTAGTCGTAACAAACATATTAGTTTTAATAGTGGTAGCCGTAGCTGTAGTAGTAGTCGTAGTAGTAGTAGTAGTAGTAGTAGTAGTCGTCGTCGTAGTAGTAGTAGTAGTAGTAGTAGTAGTAACCATATTAGTTTCAATAGCCGTAGTAGTAGTAGTAGTAGTAGTAGTAGTAGTAGCCGTAGTAGTAGTAAGGGAAGTAGTAGTATGAGTTGTAGTGCGTAGTAGTCGTAGTAGTAGTCGTAGTAGTAGTAGTAGTAGAAGTAGTAGTAGTAGTAGTCGGAATAGTTGCAGTGGCGGTTGAAGTAAAGGCAGTGATAGTAGTAGTAGTAGTAGTAGTAGTTGTAGTAGTAGTCGTTGTAGTAGTAGCCGTAGTAGTAGTACTAGTATTGGTAGTAGTTGTAGTGGTAGTAGGCGTAGTCGTGGAATTTGTGGCCGTAGTCATAGTAATAGTAGTAGTATTAGTAGTAGTAGTAGTAGTAGTGGTAGTAGTAGTAGTAGAAGTACTAGCGGCAGTAGAAGTAGTGGCAGTAGTAGTAGTAGTAGTAGTCGTTGTCGTAATAGGAGTAGTCGTGGTAGTCTCCGTAGTAGTAGTAGAAGTAGTAGTAGTAGTAGTAGTAGTAGTAGTAGTAGTAACTGTCGTCGTAGTAGTAGCCGTAGTCGTAGTCGTAGTAGCAGTTGTCGTACTAGAAGTAGTAGTAGTAATAGTAGTAGTAGTAGTTGGTGTTGTAGTCGTAGTAGTATGTGTACTAGCCGTAGTAGTAGTAGTAGTAGTAGTAGGCTTAGTAGTAGTAGTAGTAGTAGTAGTCGTAGTAGTAGTAGTAGTAGTAGTAGTAGTAGTAGTCGCAGTCGTGGGCGTAGCCGTAGTCGTAGTAGCATTAGTCTTAGTATTCGTAGTAGGAGTAGTAGTAGTAGTAGTAGTAGTAGTAGTAGTCGTAGTAGGGAAAGCTGTCGACATAGATGCGGCAGGAGCAGCATTAGCCGCAGTATTAGTAGTAGTGGTCGTAGTCGTGGTCGTAGTAGTAGTCGTAGTAGTCGTAGTAGTAGTAGTAGTAGTCGTAGTAGTAGTAGTAGTAGTCGTAGTAGTAGTAGTAGTAGTAGTAGTAGTAGTAGTAGTAGTAGTAGTAGTAGTAGTAGTAGTAGTAGTAGTAGTTCTAGTAGTTCTAGTAGTAGTAGTACTGTTCAATTTAGTAGTAGCCGTCGTACTAGTGGGGACAGTCAACGTAATAGTAGTAGTAGTAGTAGTAGTAGTAGTAGTAGTAGTAGTAGCCGTAGTTGTTGTAAGACAAAGAATCGTAGGATTAGTGACATAGTAGAAGTAGCTGTCGTAGTCGTCGTAGTAATAGCCAATGTGGTTTCAGTTGTAGTGGTAGTAGTATCTATACTAGTCCTGGTAGTTGTAACAGTAGTAGTAGCCGTCGTAGTAGTAGTAGTAGAAGTAATCGTACAAGTAATAGTAGCAGTAGTAGTAGTAGTAGTAGTAATAGTAGTAGTAGTAGTAGTAGTAGTAGTAGTAGTGGTAGTAGTAGTAGTAGTAGTAGTAGTAGTAGTAGTAGCCACCCTACTCGTATTATTTGTAGTACCAGTACCAGTCCTACTCGTAGTCGTGGTCGCAGTCGCAGTGGTGATCGTAGCCGTAGCCGTAGCATTCGTAGACGTAGTAGTAGTAGTAGTAGTAGTAGTAGTAGTAGTAGTAGTAGTGGCAGTAGTAGTAGTAGTAGTAGTGGTAGTAGTAGTAGTAGTAGTAGTAGTAGTAGTCGTGCTAGTAGTAATAGTAGTAGCCGTAGTAGCCGTAGTGGTAGCAGTAGTAGTAGTAGTAGTAGTAGTAGTAGTAGTAGTAGTAGTAGTAGTAGTCGTAGTCGTAGCCGCAGCCGTAGCCGTAGTCGTAGTCGTAGTCGTAGTAGTTTTCTTCGTAGTAGTAGTAACAGTAGTGCTTGTAGTCGTGGTAGTAGTAGTAGTAGTAGTAGTAGTAGTAGTAGTAGTAGTAGTAGTAGTAGTAGTAGTAGTCGTAGTCGTAGTCGTAGTCGTAGTCGTAGTCATAGTAATCGTAGTAGCAGTAGTCGTAGTAGTGGTAGCAGTAGTCGTAGTGGTCGTAGTTATACTAGTAGTAGTCGTAGTAGCCGT